TATTATTATTATTATTATTATTATTGTTATTATTATTATTATTATTGTTATTATTATTATTATTATTGTTATTATTATTATTATTATTGTTATTATTATTATTATTGTTGTTGTTGTTGTTGTTGTTGTTGTTGTTGTTGTTGTTGTTGTTGTTGTTGTTGTTGTTGTTGTTGTTGTTGTTGTTGTTGTTGTTGTTGTTGTTGTTGTTGTTGTTGTTGTTGTTGTTGTTGTTGTTGTCATCTATAATTTATACACTTAACCTCCTTGTGGTTCGACCCCGGTCTTGCCGGGTTATTTTTTACTTCGACACTCCTGCACTTGGGAGAAGACATCAATCTTTTAGTCGTGTCATTAAAATTTAGAAGTATTGATTTGATAACTAATTATTGAGTAGGTCGTCATCTCTTGATTTAATGACAATCATTATTTTCTTGTCTAAATAAAATGTCATTGCTAACGTCAAAATTTGAACAGATAGTTTTCATGAAAGTTCTAGGCATTTGTCTCAGCTTTCTAACAAAATAAGAATGAGCTCATTTGGACTTCTAGAACTCGAGATATGAGTTGAGCACTGAACAATATCTGGGCTATAGGACAAATTCTGATTTCTCTTTTGTTGCTACAATTTCAACTTGAAAACTACCGTTTTGAATCATGGACTCATAAAAGTTTTAGACCCATGTTTTAGCTTTCCATCAATATAAACCATATCTAAATCCATATTCTATAGCTCCAGTTATGATCTAATAACTAAATGATATTCTAGTTTGAATTGAACTAGCATCTCTTCTTTAAATTTGACCCTCTCTGTCTTCTTAATTTTAATAATTAAACACATTAATTAATTGTTTAAATTATAAAATATGCTTGTATTCAAAATGAACATTTACCATATATTAAAGATATCTTATGTTAGCAAACTTGTTATTATAAAGCATGCTCAAGTTAGGGAATTTAATGATACTTTAAGTGCAATATAATAATATAAAACTTTAATGAAAATACACTTTTAAATACTAATCAGTCTGACAACAATGCATAACCGATGTTACTGTGAACTTAGCAGACCACCCAAGTTCACTACCTATGGACTTCATAGTCTACAAAGTCCAAGCGTTTTGGGTTTGGTGAACATGCTAGACTCATGTTATGTGGACTTGGTTGCCCGCCAATTCCATACATTTTGGACCTGGCTCACCGCCAAGTCTAGACATTTTAGGTCTGACAAACATGCTATACCCACATTACTCTAGACTTGGCTGACTGCCAAGTTCACATATTTTGGACTTGGCGAGCACCTTAGGTCTGACAAACATACCAAACCCACGCTACTTGGGTCTAGCAAATATGTCATACCCAATAAACCAATCCAGGTTACTTGAATATGGCAATCATATCAGACCTATATTAACAACCGACACATCACGTATGCAACCTGAAATCCAACCACGATGGTGCCCGGAAAAACACGGTCCTTTGTTTTTGTCACCTAAAAATCCATTTCAACTCATTTTTTACCCAAAATACCTAAGAAACACCCTAAAGACCTTGATAAACCAATCGATGGCTACCAAAAACCCAATAAAACCACCTCAAAAACTGAAATCCACCCGAAACAAAAATTCTTCCTAAGATCAGATATGTTTTTTAGGTGTTCTTGGCTGTTATGCCAAGTTCACACACTTTGAACTTATTTGTGCACCAAGTCCAAGTGTCTTGGGTATGGAAAACATCCTAAACCTATGTCATATGAATTTGACTTATGGTTAAGTTCACGCATTTTGGACTTGGCTTGTGTCAAGTTCGCGCCTTGAGTTTGACAAACATGTCAAACTTACATTCTTAAGTTTGGCAAACATGTCTAACCCATATTATTTGTGCATAGCAAATATGTCTGATCCATATTTACTGGGATCTGGCAAACATGTCAACTCATAATACTATGGATGTGGCTGACTAATTAGTACTTAAAAGTGCATTTTTATCATGGTTTTATATCATCATTTTGCACTTGAA